TGTCAGAGTGTAGACGCAGGACAGGAAGGTCCGTCAGGAACCTGCGGTGGAGCTGGAGACGAACTGCTCGGATCCAAAGGATTAGAACAGCAGAGACCTCACCCTTGGCGCGCAAGGGGAAGACCATGGTGTAACGCGAGTAGTCGTCGACAACCAGCAGAAAGTACCGCTCACCGCCCTGTCCACGAACGCGGGCTGGGCCCCACACGTCCAGGTGGAGGGTCTGCAGGGGAGCCTCTATCGGGGGAAACGAGGAGGAGTGAGGAGCAGCGCGCTGCCGCCCCTCGACGCAAGGAAGGCAGGGCGGGGCAGGCGAGGCAGGAAGGGGAGGCAGAGACCTGGGAAGACCAGAGACAAGGAGGCGACGGTGCATGCCACAGAGACGCGGCAAGGAGGGGTGACCCAGGCGGTGGTGCCAGAGAAGAGTCTGGTGCGACAGGGAGCGACACTAATAAGGGGAGACTACCAGACCTGACGCAGACACCTGACCGACAGCAGCTACCTGAGGAGACACAGTCGTCAGTGTGTAGAGACTCGACCCTGGCCAATGGCTGAACGTGGCCAGGTGACGGCCAGTCCTGGAGCACGTACAGATCGCCACACGCTGTCCTCCAGGGGTAAAGGTGTCAACCCAGTGGTCGTGGAGAACTGCGTTGCTCACCAAGTTCGTAGAGAACGAGGGGAGGTGAAGACCTAATAGTGAGCCACACGGAACTGTCAGGCACGGAAGCACAGTGGTGGACCGTGCAAGGACTGGGCCCCCTGAGGGGTCAGCCAGAGACACTGCAACAGGTGCAGGGAGTGGTGTGAGTGCTGTATTGTCGCGAATGAAACAGCGGGAAACACCTGAGTCAAGCGTGAAGGTGTGAATGGCCTCACCAGGCGTAGTACCTGAGAGAGCAGGATGGCGATCTGTATGTGCTTCCGGACTGGCCGTCACCTGGCCACATTTACCCGCCAACCTGGGTCGAGCCTGTACACACTGACTACTGAGTCTCCTCAGGTAGCTGCGTCTGGTCAGGTGTCTGTGTCAGGTCAGGCACCAGCCACTTGCTCGTGTCGCCACCTCTCACACCAGACTCTCCTCTGGCACCACCGCCTTGGTCACCCCTCCCTGCCACGCCTCCGTAGCATGCACACCCGCGTCCTTATCTCTGGACTTCCCAGGTCTCTGTCCTCCCTCCCGCGCTCCCCTGCCCCACCCTGCATTCCTTGCGTCGAGGGGCGGCAGCGCGCCGCTCCTCACTCCTCCTCGTTTCCCTCGACAGAAGCTCCCCTACCGACTCTCCACCCACCCGCGTCCGTGGATAGGGCGGCGAGCGATACTTCCTGCTGGTTGTTGACGACTACACGCGTTACACCATGGTCTTCCCCTTGCGCACCAAGGGTGAGGTCCCTGCTATCTTGATCACTTGGATCCGCGCAGTCCGTCTCCAGCTCAGCAAGCGGTTCTGCTCGGACCTTCCTGTCCTGCGTCTGCACTCTGACAGAGGTGGTGAGTTCTCCTCCGACCTCTTGCGGGCCATTTGTCAAGGAGAGGACATCCTCCAATCGTTCACGCTTCTGGCCTCCCCGCAGCAGAATGGGGTTGCTGAGCGCCGCATTGGCTTAGTCATGGAGATCGCTCGTACCTCCATGATCCATGCAGCTGCTCCCCATTTTCTGTGGCCGTTTGCAGTCTGGTACGCTGCGCATCAGCTCAACCTCTGGCCCTGTGTCTCCTTGCCAGATACCTCGTCCGCAGTGCGTTGGACGGGGGAGGTTGGCGATGCGTCGCGTTTCCGGGTCTAGGGCTCTCGTGCCTTTGTCCGCGATACCACCGCGGACAAGCTCTCCCCTTGCGCCATTCCCTACGTCTTCTTTGGCTTTCCCCCTAACGCGCTTGGCTGGCAGTTTTACCACCCCACCTCGCGCCGTGTTTTTCGTCTCCTCTCATGACGTCATGTTTGACGAGTCGGTTCCCTTTTACCGTCTCTTTCCCTACCGCACTGTCCCTCTTCCCCCCCCCCGCCGCTCTTTCTCGCTCCAGGTCCCCCTCCGGTAGACCCCCTTCCCCCTCAAGGTCATGCTCCTCCAGGACCAGCAGCGCTCGTGGTGGAGCTGCCGGAGCTAGTGGTGCTACAGTTTTTGAAGCTGCTAGAGGTACTGGAGCTGGAGTTTCTGGAGCTACTGGAGGTGCAAGAGCTAGCGTTTCTGGAGCTGCTGGAGACCTTGGAGGTGCTGGTGCTGGAGGAGCTGGTGCTGGTGGTACTGCACAGCCGCCGCGTTTGTTCTTCGCTCCACCGTCACCCTCGTCTCTGCCACCGCCTGACTCGGTGCTTCGCCAGGTTCTTAGTCTCCCGTCTTCTACTGGTCTCCCGTTACAGCCAGGCTCCCCACTGCCTGCTCCCTCTCCTTACACTGCGCAGAGAGGAGGTCTTACTGAGCGTCGTGAGCCTGCGTCTCGTCCTGCCTCGCCTGTTCGCGCTGTTGAGTCGCATTGGTCGTCGTGTTCCTCGTGGGCGTCCTCCTCCTGTCCCCAGCACGCACACTATGGCATTCGTCCTTCCTCTGTTCCTCTGCGCGTTCCCCTGCCGTCTCCTCCTGCGTCTTCTCTGCCTGACGTTCCGGACCCTGAGTCTAACCGGTTTCGTGCTGCTCACCCTACTGTCACGCATCTATTAGCCATTGTTGTTACTGACCCTTCATTTGAGTCCACTGTTGCGTCTACCTTAGTTGCTGAGCTGGTTGACATTGCTGCTGCTTGTCGTCTCGACTACGCTGCTGATCTTGTTGCTGAGTCTGAGTCTGTCTGTCCTCCGTCTGTCGGGGGTGAGTGTGCTCTTGGCACGGACGTCCTTGAGGACAGGCATGAGGACTTTGAGTGTCTTGCAGCCGCTGCACCTCATCTCGTGGCCATGCTGCTTGCCCCTGAGGGAGACCCGGATGCACCAGACATCCCGACCCCGCGTTCTTACGCTGAGGCGATCGCGGGTGAGTACTCCTTTCAGTGGTAGACAGCCAAGGACGCAGAGATGGCAACTTGGAAGTCCACAGGCACTTACGTCGACGAGGTTCCCCTTTTTGGGGCGAACATTGTCGATGACATGTGGATTTTCAAGGTGAAGCGGCCGCCGGGTTCTCCGCATGTCTTCAAGGCTCGTTACGGTGCAAGGCTTCAGTCAGCGTGAGGGAGTTGACTTCTTCCAGACCTTCTCCTCCACCCCGAAGATGACCACTCTTCGAGTGCTGCTGCACGTTGCCGCTCAGTGTGACTACGAGCTTCACTCTCTGGACTTCAGCACAGCGTTCTTACAGGGCAGTCTACACAAGGAGGTCTGGCTGCGCCGCCCACCTAACTTCACTGGGTCGTTCCCTCCTGGTACCCAGTGGAGCCTCCGCCAGCCAGGCTATGGTCTCCGTCAGACGCCTCGTGAGTGGCACGACACACTGAGGACAACACTTGCGGCTCTTGGAGTTGCCCCTTCCACTGCTGACCTGTTGCTGTTTCTATGCACTGACACTTCGCTGCCACCGTTCTACGTCCTCCGTGTACGTCGACGACTTGGTTTTTGCCACTGCTGACACTGAGGCACTCGCATTTGTGAAGTCAGAGCTGCAGAAGAGACACACGTGCACAGATCTGGGTGAGCTGCGCAGCTACCTTGGCTTGCATATCACCCGGGACAGAGCACGGCGCACCATCACACTGACTCAGTCACACATGGTGCAGCAGGTCCTTCAGCGCTTCGGCTTCACTTGGTCCTCACCACAGTCCACTCGTCTGGCTACCGGTCACTCGTTCTCAGCTCCACCTTCGGACGAGTCTGTAGAGCCGAGTGGCTCGCATCCAGTGCTAGTGGGCTGCCTCATGTGCCTGATGACCTGCACGTGTCCTGACCTTGCGTACCCTCTTGGCCTTCTGGCACGCTACGTGGCTCCTGGTAGACACCGAAAGGTGCCCGGGGAAGCTGCGAAGAGGGTACAGCATTACTTGTGCAGTACATCGAGCATGGGGCTCGTGCTTGGAGGGCGGGGTCCAGTTGTCCTCACTGGACACTCAGACGCTTCTTGGGTTGACGACCTGGCTACGCAGCGGTCGTGACAGGGTTACACGTTCAGCCTTGGCTCCGGCTCTGTTTCTTGGCAGTCTACCCGCTCGTCTTCTGTTCTCAGCTCCAGTTGTGAGGCTGAGATCTACGCCACAGCCATGGCTGCACAGGAGTTACGCTAGCTCACCTACCTGCTGACTGACTTGGGAGAGAGGCCTCGTTCTCCTCCAGTTCTGTACGTAGACAACAAGGCTGCCATTGCCTTGTGTCAGGACCACAGACTGGAGCACAGAACGAAGCACATCGCTCTGCGTTACTTCCTTGCCCGGGAGTTGCAGCAGCGTGGTCAGCTTCGTGTTGCTTATCTGGTGACCATCAACCTTCTGCACTGCTCTAGGCCTCGTGCCTACGTTTGCTCACTTCTTGACTTTGCTTGTACTGTGATATATATATATATATATACATATATATATATATATATACCTCATGCTTACGCCTGCTAGGTTGTGATCACTGTACTGTTTGCTCTGCTTTCTATAACCACGCATGTGAAGTAGCCTTGTCGCCATTTGCTTGTGCCCAGAATGTGTGGTGACTTTGGGATCCACCCTGAGCTTGCTTTATCTCTTTGTAACTGTTTGGACTCCCCCACTTGGCTTATGGGGGTGTGTCAAAGTATTATAATGTGTTGGTTGTAGTGGGGTAGCCAATATGGGGTACAACCCCTTTAGGGCTTGTATTTGTACCAAACTCTCTCATTCAAACCATTCCTGCTTCTAGTTCTAACAAGTAAAAGAGTTGATGAAACCAGAATCATGCTGTTTTTATGTGTTACTACAGAAATAGCCAGCATTGTGCGGGAAATCCTCAGCCAATATAACTTACATGCAGGACACTTGAGTACGTACAACAGGAAACACTCTCAAAGGTCAGAATGTGGGACATTCCCCCTCCTGCCACCAGTTTCTCCTACACCCTGCCCTTCCTAGGCTTCGTAGAGCGCTTCTTGCAGTCAGGCAGGGGTTTCCCACAGAGCTTGGGGTTGCCAGGGCGGAAGCAGGACACTGGTAGGTCGGAGAGAGAGGGGGGGACGGAGCCAGAGAGGGAGTTGCCAGCGAGTTGCACTTGCAGGGAGGGGGCAGCAGCACGCAGGCGTGCAGGGATGGTGCCTGACAGCCCGCTCCACGACACATCCAGCTCTTGCAGGGCCTTCAGGGACGCCAGCCCTGCAGGGATGCTGCCACTCATGCGGTTGCGTGCCGTCTGCAAGGAGTGCAGAGCGGTGAAGCGCGAGAGGGATGCGGGGAGCGAGCCGGAGAGCTGGTTGGTGGAGACGTTGAGGGAGAGGAGGGAGGAGGCGCAGGAGGAGGAGGAGGGGAGGAGGGAGGAGAGGGGGCCGGAGAAAGCGTTGGAGGAGAGGAGGAGAGAGGCGAGGCGCTGCTTGCCCTGGCAGAAGGCAGGCAGGGAGCCCTTGAGCTTGTTGCATGAGAGGTCCAGGTGGGTCAGCATGGGGGCGAGGGCAAGCGAGCGCGGCAGAGAGCCTGAGAGCAGGTTGCTGCGGAGGTTGAGGCGGGCGAGAGTGGAGGAGGAGGCGAGGAGGGGGGGAATGGCACCAGAGAGGAGGTTATAAGAGAGGTCCACGTGAGTGCAGCGAGCGCAGGCAGCCACCGGCAGGATGGAGCCGGAGAGCTGGTTGTGGGAGAGGCTCAGGTGAGTTAGACCAGTGAGGCTGGTGGTGAGAGCATCAGTGATGGGTCCTGTGAGCTGGTTGGAAGAGAGGTCCAAGTGGGAAAGAGGAAAACGGGAGGCGCTCTGGTTCTGAGTGGTGTCTTGGAGTAGGTCAGGGATTGCGCCAGTTAAGAGGTTGTAAGAGAGGTCCATGTGAGTGCAGCGAGGGCAGGCGGAGAGAGGCAGGATGGAGCCAGAGAGCTGGTTGTGGGAGAGGCTTAAGTGAGTTAGATCTGTGAGGCTGGTGGTTAGAGCATCGGGGATGGGTCCTGTGAGCTGGTTGGAAGAGAGGTCCAAGTGGGACAGAGGGAAAAAGGAGGTGCTCTGGTTGTCAGCTTTGAGAGGGTCTGGGATGGGACCGGAGAGCTGGTTGTGGGAGAGGTCCAACAGGGAGAGGCACGGGGAGAAGACAGCATCAGGGATGCTCCCAGTCAGCGCATTGTGGCTCAGCCGCACCTCTGCACCGCTCTGCACCACGCTGCATGCGGCTGTGGTTGGGAACGGGAGGTGGTGTTGTGCAAGGGCGCCAGAGAAGGAGTTGAAGGAGAGGTCGAGATGAGTGAGGCTCGTGAGCCCATTGCCACTGCTGCTGCTGCTCTCCCCCACAGTGGGTAGCCCCCCAGTGATGGCGTTATGAGACACGTCCAGACTGCGCAGCACACTCGCATCCTGGAGAAGCACTGCCGCGTTGAGCTCACTCAGGCTGTTACAGCTCACGTTCACGTGCACCAATTGCGGTCCCAGCGGCGGGATTGCCCCTTCCAGCTGGTTGTGCGACAAGTCACACGTCTCCAGGGAGCCATCGAGAGGCGGGATGGCGCCAGAGAAGTTGTTGTGGGAGAGGTTGACGACGCTCATTGCGGGATTCAGCGCCGGCAGCGTGCCGGTGAGGCGGTTGTGGGAGAGGTCCAGCTCAACGCCCACTGATCCCAGCATATACGAGGTCACAGTCCCCGATAGGTGGTTGTGCGAGAGGCGCAGCACATCCATCAAGCCATTGGGCCACCACGGCACTTCAACTATTTCTTCCAGCGTGCAGGTGAGCAAGTTGTGCGAGAGGTCCAGCTCGCCGCCCACTCTTTTCAGCAGCCAGTAGGGCACTTCCCCCACAGCTGGTTGTGCGAGAGGCGCAGCACAGACATCAACGCGTGCGGCCAATAGGCGACGCCAATGACGTCGTCCACCGTGCCATTGATTCGGTTGTGGGAGAGGTCCACCACGGATGCGATCGTCTGCACGTTCAGCTCGTACTGGAATGTGAGGTTGTTGTGCGACGCGTTCAGGTAGCGCATGCGCGGGAAGGGGTGCTTCACCTCGTACGCTCTGTAGTTTGCGTCCCAGGGGACAAAGAGCACGTTGGCGTCACTGGACAGCTGGTTGCTGCTCACGTCCAGGGAGTCTAACAACGGAAAAATTTTGGTCAGGCTCCGCGGGTAACGTGGCCGGGACAAGGGAACAGCCCCCCCTGCAGCAGCAGCAGGGGCGTCAGCAGGGGGGTCGATGGCAGTGGCGACCTCAAAGAGCCCGCCCCGGAGGGCGTTCCCCTGCATCTGCAGGTCTCGGAGCATCCAGAGCGCGCCAAGCTCCCGTGGCAAGCTGCCGTCCAGCCGGTTGTGGTCCAGCGCCAGGCGCGTCAGCCCCGTCAGAAGACTCACCTGCGCTGAAATGGACCCCGACAGAGCGTTCCCCCCCACGTCTAGACTCTCCAAGCTTGGTGAGAGCAGTGTTGCTGCTGCTGCAGTGGTGGTCGGGAGGGCTGCTCCCGTGAGGTTGTTCCCGCGGAGGGAGAGCTCTCGCAGCGAGGGGAGAGTGAAGAGGGCGGGGGGGATGGAGCCGGAGAGGTGGCGGTTGGAGGAGAGGTCGAGAGCGACGAGGTGCGAGAGGCGTGAGAGGGATGACGGCAGGCCGCCAGAGAGGACGTGCCCGGAGATGCGTAGCGACGTCAGCTGCGTCAGCTGCCCCAACGCCTCCGACAGACTCCCACTCGTGCTCCCGCTCCCGCTGTCACCAGGCAGGCCCTGCAGGAAAAAGCTCGTGGAGCGGGGAGGTGGCGGGGGCTCGGAGGTGCATGTCACCTCCCCCTGCTGGTTGTACTGGCAGTCAGGCATGTCGGGGACGACGTTGGGGTGCAGTGCGACTGTGGCATCGCCCAGCAGGTGCAGCGTGTGCACATGCCCGTCTGCTGTGCACCCCACGCCGTACCACTCACACGCACTAGCGCTGCTGCTGCTGCTCGCATTCCAGCTGCTCAGTATCGCCGCCCACGAGCTGTTTCCGCCATCCACCAACGCTCCCGCTTCTGCTTCCCCCGCTGCTCCCCCCAGGAGTGCATCGCGCACGGCCAGCAGAGCCTCAGTCTCCGCAGCGGACGCCTGCACGCCAGGCGACGGCGCAGGGAGGTACCCCGCGCCCACGGCGCCCTTCATGGCAGCGCTGTTGCCGCTCACTCGCAGCACACTCCAGTCCGTCGCCCCCTGCGCGTCCCTGCGCACGTCAAACAGCGGCCCTGACAGCTCGTTAAATCGCATGTCCACCACTCCTTGCCCTTGCCCTCCCGCCCTGCTGCTCTCCGCGCTCCCGCTCGCCCCGCGCTCTGCCCCCTCCCCACTCGCCAGGCGGAACAGCCCCTCCGGAATGGTGCCCGTGAAATTGTTGTGTGACACGTCCACGCTCCCGTTGTGGATCACGGAGAAAGCTGTCAGGCTGCCCGTGAGGCTGTTGTGGCTGAGGTTCACGTGCAGCCTCTGCGCTTCCAACACACGTGCTGGCGACCCCATCACAATGCGCCCCCACTGCTCGTCCACGCGCATGAACAGGTCCCCCGGAACGCTCCCCCTCAGCCCCGCGTGCGGCGCGCTCAGCACCTCCACCTGCGCGGGCACCACACACCCGTGCAGGTCGCCTCCCCCTTCCGCATCCGCGCCGTCGCCGCCAAAGGCGTTGAAGCCAAGATAGAGCTCGCGAGCGGGCAGCAGCGCGTCGCAGAACGGCCCGCTCAGCGCGTTGCCGTCGAGGCGCACGACGTCCAGACGGCGCAGCGGCGCGAGCGCCGTGGGCGCGCCCGACAGGCGATTCTCCCCCAGGTCCAGGTACGTCATCCCGCCCATCGCCTTCAGCGCCGTCGGAATCGCGCCGGTCAGACCGTTGGCGCGCAGCGAGAGCGACTCGAGGCTGAACTCGTACGCGTCCGCAACGCGCGGGAGCTCGCCCGTGAGGTTGTTGTACGAGAGGTCGATGCGGTTGAGGGGGCCGCGGAGGGAGGGAATCGCGCCGGAGAGCAGGTTGTGCGAGAGGTCGAGCTCGTGGGTCACGGCGGAAAGCAGGTCCGCGGGGACGCTCCCCGTCAGCTGGTTGTGCGCCACGCGCAGCACCTCCGCGCCCACGCGCACGACTTCCGCCAGCGCGCCGGCGATGCGGTTGTGCGAGAGGTCCACGACGGTCGCGACGAACGTGCTGCCCGCGCTGCACGTGAGGTTGTTGCGCGACGCGTTCAGGTGGCCCAGGTCGCGCGGGAGAGGCGCGAGCGCGGCCGCGTCGCCGGAGAGCTGGTTGCTGCTGACGTCCAGGAAGTCGAGCAGCGGGAACGCCGCGCGGAGACCAGCAGACGCAGCAGCGTCAGGAGTAGCGGAGACAGCAGCAGCAGGAACCAGCGCAGCGATAATATCTCCCGTCAATTGGTTCTGGTCGAGCGCGAGGCGCGTGAGTGTCGAGAGAGAGGCGATGGCGGGTGGGATGTCTCCGGACAGGCCGTTGTCCCCCACGTCGAGCTCCCTCAGCGCCGTCATCTCCGCCAGCGCCGACGGAATGCCGCCGGTCAGCCCATTGCTGCGCAGGGAGAGCGCGACGATGCTCTGCGAGTACGCCCCCGCCTCCCCTGGGAGGTCCCCCGTGAGGTTGTTGGCCTCGATGCGCAACTCGCGCAGCGCAGGCGCGCGGAAAATCGCGTGCGGAAGCTCCCCCGAGATGTTGTGTGCGGAAAGGCGAACCGTTTCCAGCGACGGGGAGTACGCGTCGGGCCCGTCGGGGAGGGGCCCTGAAAGGCCGCCGCCAATGGTGGTGCTCAGATCCACGTGGCGGAGCGCGGGCAGGCCGAAGAGCCCGGGCGGAACGGGGCCGGAGAAGCTGTTATCGGGCGCGTCGAGTTCCGTCAGCTTCTGGAGGCGCGAGACGGAGTCCGGCAGGCCGCCGGCGAGGCACGAGTGGCGCAGCACCAGCGACGAGAGCTCCGCGAGGTCGCCAATGGCGGGCGACAGCGCGCCGGGCGGGCAGCTCCAGCCATTATAGCCGAGGGGCCCGGGCATGTCATAGGGACTCGGGTCGGAGATGATTCTGGTGACGCGGCCCGCGGCCGTGCACTCGATCTGGCACCAGACGTAGCACGACGGGGGCCGAAGGCTGGCCGGCGCGCAGCAGTTGTAGGTGAGGTTGCCGTCCCTGTCGAAGAGCTCGGGCGAGGACGGGCTGTCGTGCCAGAAGAACATGCCGGCGGGCAGCGCCGCGTACACCGCGCGCATGGCCTCGCGGTCGCCGTCCGCCATCGGCACGACGCAGCCCGGGGGGGTCGAGTAGCTGTAGGCTTCCGCGGCGCGGAGGAGGGCGATGCGCGCGAGGAGCGCGATGAGGGTTGAGAGTGAGATGAGGGGGAGGGAGGACTGGAAGGTCTGGAATGACGTCATGAAGGCGTTCGAGAATGGGAGTATGCGAAAGAATCTGGGAGTACGCGCCGCGAAGAACGAGCGTGCGAATACTGATAGGCCACTATGAAGAGCATTGGAAAAGAGGAAGTACCACTACACGTTCCAACTCGAGCACTACTGACGCGGCTCGTACTACTATTAGTACTAATGTCGGGCGTTGTTGCACGGATTTTGTGGGTGAAACCCGAAGGAGGTGCGAGTATATAGTGGTACGTGGTAGGTGGCTCGTGACGCTGAGTAGCGGCATGATCAGGCTCTCCCCACGTTCGGAGCGTTGACTCCGTTGACGGGAGGCCAGGAGTGCCTAAGGCAGAGGAGGGCTTAGCGGAAGCAGATTGGCGAAAGGGGTGCGCGAGGGGTACGAGGCGCGTTCTGACCGGGGGCATGAGGGAATGAACAACATCCATAGTAGCGGTTGCTAATTCGGCGTGCTTGCAGTAGTGACGACAACTGGGGGAGGCGTGAAGAGGCGCATTGGCGGTAAAACCAAGTCACTTCACTACTACTGTTACTGCCAGCGAGGTGCCTGGAACAGTTTCTACTGAGCTGAGCTAGGCGAAGGTGAGTATTTCACGCTGCTGGTTGGCTGGGAAAATTGCACGGCGACATAGAAGAGGCACCAACCAACCGACGAGCAAAGAAGGGTTGCGAAGGTTTGAGAGTAGCAGCGAAGGCGGAAGACACAGCACGACTTGGAGAGAAAGTGGTGGAACGGGGAAGAGGCAGGGCTTGCATGAGCAGGTGGGAGGGAACAGAACAGAGACAGGTGAGATCGTGGCCTTGTTCGGTAGGCACCCAGTGCGAGTGGGCCCACTCTCACTGGCGAACCCTTCGTGGGGCTTCCTAGCCTCGGACCCTCAAATCGCACTTGCTTTCGGGTGCTTGCTCGACAACAACGAAGTAGCTCATCCTGGGGCATTTTCCCCCGTCACTCGTACCATGGCCCTGTTCGGTAGACGCCCCACTCTTACTGCGGTTGGTGGAAGGCAGGTTCCAAGGACATTGTTAAAGCCCACTGATTCGATATTGGAACACCGAAACTGCCCAGTGTGACTTGACTACCGAACGCTTTAAAAGCCAAGTCTGACTGCTGGCGCCGAAACTGCACGGAAATATTCCTCCCCGGGCAAACTGGACTCGCAGTGGAAGTGGCTCCCAGTTTTGGTTTTTGACTGCACGGAAATATTCCTCCCCGGGCAAACTACACTCCGCGAGGGCACTCTGAGTGGAACAATTTTGGGTTAACTCAAGATTAGACAATTTCGGGCCAAAAACTAGTATCATACCTTTTTGAACCAAAGAGGTAGCGCACAGCTTGTGATGCTTTTTTTTTTTTTCTTTGTTTAGCAGGGTAGCCGTGCGACGGGCAAGAACGTTTTGTTTTGGGGTCAGTCTGGTACAGAACCACAATCGTATCCAGAAATTTACAGCATATTTCACGGAAACTATCACAGCCTGAACTCGAAACTTCTTTCCGGTGTGAGTCGAAGCCCGAGGCTAAGCAACATCTCGGACGCTTCTCCAGATCGAGTGGGTCCAGTGCGACTGGGAGGCTACCGAACAGGGCCCATATTACTGGGGGGGGGGGCGGTGGGGCTTGTAGTTGGCCGCAGCTCCACTCCGACTGGTTTTTGCCCGGGGAAGAAATTTCTCCCTCAGCTTCGTCGCGGCCAGTCTTATCACAGTCAGACTAGCGAATAGAGGCGTTCGGTACCAAACTCTAACTGGCTAGGTTCGGTGTTCTACTAACGAGTTCATGGGCTTTAACCATGTACACATACGAAATGGGGAACCTGCCCTGACCCACCCGCAGTCTGACTAGGCAGCCTACCGAACAAGGCCCGTGGGAACAAGTGAAGCTGGTGGTGGTGTCGCGGCACTTCGGTGGAGGTGGGGGATGGGCGAGGCAGTGGGTTGTTGCTGGCTGGTTTCCGAGTCGCATGTCGCTTTACCAGTGCGTTTCCCAGGTTTAGGGTTTAGGTGATGATGTTGTCTGTGCTGTACTGTAACTCTGGACAAGGATACAAGGTTTAGGAGTTGGGTTTATCCCAAAACCAGCTGGTAAGCAAATTTACTCTGAAATTCAGACAAAATGAACAAATGAGCAAATAAACAAAGAACAAATGAATAAAAAAGCAGAAGCCAGGGAGACCTTATACCAGTAGCACAAGAAAAGTCTGGAAACCAGGCCAGTACACAGCCTGAAATCTAATACCGTACCTAAGATTCATGTGTGAGCAGCAAACGAATGAGACGCCAAGCTTGGTTTTTGAGACCCTGCTAATGGAGATTATTTGGAGTACATTGATTAGCAGGATGCTGAAGTTCTTGCGCCTACTGCAGATGCTTTTGTCATGAAATAATGGAAAAAAAACTTTCTGCACATGAGTACCTGAAAGACACCTACAGCTAAAATAATGAGCAACCTTCACAGTATTGCAGTGCAAGCACATGGTTGCCGTGAAGCAGGCAGGCACGCGCTTACAATGCAGCACGGACCGCACTGCACCATCATGTGATGCCATGCCATGCACTTGGATGACAGATGATGGAGTAGAGTGAAGTGGGCTTATTGTGCTGGCAGCGCTACGCTCACAGGTCGATGGGAACGCGCATGCCATCGTATGCGAGGTCCACATCGAGCCCCTCCTGCTGCTGCAGCTGGCGCAGCTGCGCTGACACACTCTCATGCTCCATCACATGCATCATGCCTGCACCACAGTACGGGGCACATGCGGCACACGGGGCAGTGGGCAGTGCAGCACAGGTGGGACAGGTGGGTCTTGAGAGGAGGGAAGGATGAAGGATGACGGATGAGGTGGAGGAGTGGACATGCAGGAGGCGGCACGGGTGACTAGGAGAGTCGTGCCATCGTGCTGTGCGATGAAATTAAGCCAGCATCATGTGCCATGGCAGGCATGGTGGCGGGCGGTGCATGGAAGTGAGTGGAGCATGGCGCATGGCATGAGACAAGAGAGGTGCAACAGAGCATACAAAGGCAGGCACTAGTGTGCATGGCCTGCAGGTGCTCCTACAATGGGCAATGCAGGCAGGCAGGCATGAGCAGTGCATGTGGAGGGAGAGAATCGAGTGTGGAGCATGGCACAGCGAGCAGGCGGAGCACAGCATGCACTGGGAGGGCCTGACCTGTGAAGAGGGTTCGGTGGGGGCGGATCTTGCGCACCTCCTCCAATGCCTGCATGTCCCCGTCGGCACACGGAGGGATGGACGTTGGGGTGAGCGTGTGTGTGTGCGTGGGTGGGTGTGGGTGTGCGTGCGCGTGTGTGTGTGGGTGGGTGGGTGTGGGTGTGCGTGCGCGTGCATGCGTGCATGTGCGAGAATGTGCGTGCGTGTGTGTGTGTGTGTGTGTGTGTGTGGGTGTGTGTGTGTGTGTGTGTGTGCGTGCCCGTGCGAGCGCGTGCGCACGTGTGTGTATGTGTGTGTGTGTGTATGTGTGTGCGCACGCATGTACGCAAACGTGCATGCGCGTGTGCGTGTGTGTGTGTGTGCGCGTGTGTGTGTGTGCATGTGTGTGTGTGTGTGCGCGCTTGTGTGTGTGTGTGTGCGCATGTGTCTGTGTGCGCGCGTGTGTGTGTGTGTGTGTGTGTGTGAGAGTGCTGTTGCATGATGGTGGTAATGAAGTATTGCATGGCATGGCATGGCATGGCATGGCATGGCATGACTTATCACCTGTGGGAGACCAAAATGGGAGGCGCTAGAGCGGTCGGGGCGAAGGGCATCCTGGAGTGGAGGGGGTGGACGCACGCAAGTGGGGTGAGGGCAGCAGAGCTTGACCGTGGTGGCAGGAGACGTCAGAGGACGGGCAGAGGTGATGGGGCAGGGGTGGTGGTGTGGTGAAGGAAAGCAGAGACAGCATGCTTACTTGGGTGTACCGTGCAGAGGGGGAGAATCGGAGCAGGGGGACAGCAAATGGTACGTACAAGGAAGAGAAAGAAAGAGAAGGAGAAAGAGAAAGCAAGAGAAAGCAGAGAAGGCGACGAGGGGAGTGAGGGGGGTGGGCGGGGGGAGCAGCAGAGGTACGTACGAGGATGAGGAGCTTGCAATTGTCGAGCAGGGGATACGTGGACTCTGGGATGGCGCTCACGTCACTGGTAGGGAGGGGGGGTCGCAAGGATTGAATGAGTGAGTGAGTGAGTGAGTGAGTGAGTGAGTGAGTGAGTGAGTGAGAGAGTTCAGAGAAACAGGAGGCTGCAAAGGGTGAGGAATGTTCACGCCCCTGCTGGTAGATCCCATTCCGAATTAGGTAGGATTTTAGCCAGTGAGTGATTGAGGCAGCAAATGGTAGCACCCTATGTGCTCCACCCACAGCCGTGCGCATGGCATGGCAGGTGGGATGCCAGAGCGGGCATGCAGGGGGTGTGGATGCATGGTGAGCGCACCTCATGTAGCACACATCGCCAAAGCGGTAGCCAAAGGAGAGGTAGTTGGCGCCGTGCCACACAGGCAGAGGGGTCACCTGCAAGGGGGGGGCGGGGCCACGCATGGCAGAGAGGGGTGTGAGCGAGGGGCTGAAGCATGCACGG